TTATATCTTTATGTTTGAAGCCTGAAATGTGGCAAAAGGTTGAAAAGTTTAAGGGGGCCGAATACTTTCGCAAGGCACTGTACATATAATTACAACTGAACAATTTATTCATGTAATAATTGAGTAACTAACCCCTTCAAATGAAGAAGACGAGCAGTGTACTTGCCTGTGACTACATTCGTTTGTCTATGCTCATTCTATTTTTTGTTATTGGATGTGCTGGAGTGGCAGAAAACAGATACAGAGAGCAACAGTGGAAATACATGAAAATGATTTGTGCAACAGAGGGAGTTCTCTTTGCTCAGATATTAATAATAATCACAAGCAAAGCAGTGATTGGTAATGGCCCAGTATTTTGGCATGACATGCAGGGTTACATCAAAGCTAGTAAAATACCTGAAACCAAATCCATTTTAGTCAAGAGGGTGAAACAACACCCCAAACAGATGTACAGGCCTTGCATGAAATGTGTACTGTAACAGCAGATGTTTATAACCACATTTCTGTTTACATTTTTAATATAATTAACATTGAAATGTCTGGTATGATTAAACATCTAGTAATGACTGATTCTGTAAAATCTTTTAAACCGTGTGTCTATCACAAAACATTACTTCTCTATTTCCATTTTATTCCCATACAGAATATCCCATGTAATGCATTGTGTCCAGTGTGAAACATTTTATTTTTGAAACTATTTAAGATGTTACCATCTGTTTGGTAAATGAAGGAAGGTGATATACAGTAAATGCTGAAATAGATTTTAAATGTATTTTTGTCTTGTACTGTACTTGAATAGGGAAATAGTGGTGTTATTAGGACAAAGTCAAATCACGAGACGAAGTCTAACTTACTGTATGTAGTGCAGACGATTCCTCATTTATACACACATGAAAGCTTGATGCTTTTACTCATTTTAAATAAAAAATAGTAATTCCCATTGTCATGATGCAGGGATTAATTCTTACATTATTTTTGTAACCCATACAAAATTGTATATGCTCTACAAAATGCTACACAAAAATTAGAAGGCTTACAGACAGAAATTACCATGTTAGTTACAAACTAATGTGGCTTTTGTTTCACAAAGGAAATTCCATTGCACATGAGTTTGTTTTCATGACCCAAATGTTCTGCATCTAATTTAGTACTGTGATATTTCACAAAAAAAATCTTAAAATGACATCAGACTACAGTATTGACTGTTGATGTAATGGAGTAACCTATGTAGCTAAAAATGTAAAACATACCTTGACTGCTTGTGCAGCTTGATTATTGTCAGATGTATAGGGTTCTTTCCACAGTTCGACTTTCTCTTCTCTTAAAAGTTGTTTCAGTTTTATTTCAATGAATTCGTCAGCCATTTTATGCTAAAAGAAAAAAAAAACATTTTTCTGACTGTGTTACCCCGGCGTCCTAGGCAAATTTCCTATTGGTCTTTACAGATCATGGCTTCCTATTAAACCCCATCTATAAGAATTGGCTTCATTTCTCTGTTCTCCTCCACACTGATAGCTGGTGTGTGGTGAGCATACTGGTGCACTATGGCTGGTGTCACATCATCTAGGTGGGGCTGCACATCGGTGGTGGTGGAGGGGAGTCCCCATTACCTGTAAAGCACTTTGAGTGGAGTGTCCAGAAAAGTGCCATATAAGTGTAAGGAATTATTGTAGTTGTTGTTGTTAATGAACTGCCTTGTAAATGGTATTTCGTTTTGAAAGTGGTATGATAATACAGATATGAATTTTCCCAATTAATAACCTATTTTTACAGTTTAACTATGAAAATGAAACCTTGTGATCTCGGCAGCACCGGATTTGCCAGATGTCCTCTAACAAATTTTATAAAGACAATTTTATCTGAGCAGTTACACGGACTGTTCTGAAGGAATGTTCTATGGGTGTATACAGTAGCTATGAAATAAACATTATTAAAACACCGTAAAAGAAAGCAGGATTATTTTTAATATTAACATTATATATTGTATGTTTCAAACCTATTTACAGTTTGTTTGAATTGAGAATTACAACTTAGCAATTGAGAAGTTACTGTTTCACATTCCTACCGTACACCCCGTCTCAAACATAAACAAATCAAAGCCGCTAAGAGTATCACTTTTATTCGATACTCAAGTGAGCTCCTGGAAAATGACCGACGAAATATAATGTCCGTTCGTTACTGTTTACCACACATCAATCCACTTTACGCGTTATTATTTTTTACAATTATTACAGTTAACTTCTAAAACTATTTAGGGCATAATATCCCCCCTGGCCCGGCGTCAAAGGGCATATTAGCTGTATTGAGATCTGGAAACCAACGTAGGTCCACCGGGGTTTTCCGCGTCAGAGTGAAAGTCATCTCACCAGGAGGGAACAAACGATTCTTCTGATATCCAAAACATACACAAGTTTCATTTTATTTACTTTAAGCGAATCTACTTTTATTTAAGCATAATTACCCTTTGTTGGTGACCCGTACTATTTCTGTTTTTGTTTTTTTTACGGGAGCACTTTTTAACTATTGTACTTGTAGTTGTCTTCGTCACAAACTAAAAAATACTAACATTGCTGTGATCACAATGGATTATTATTTAAACTTCACATTGCATATACTGTAACCGGACGATATAACGTAGATAGCTAATACTTTATGCTATATACGCACTTGTATACAGATCAAAGAGTAAATTAATCTGAATACTACTTTTATGTTTTCTACCTTCAGAACCGATGCTCTTCAAGATCTTACTCCGTCTACTTCTTACCAGTTTCGATTTAAGCGAATTCACGCTCTTATATCACTCCTCCTTATACACTGCTCTTGTTATTATATGCGTAGTCTTCCGGACTACGGAAAAGCAAAAGGTTCAATCCAAACCGAAAAAGTAAACATACACACTGTTAATTATTTCTAACTGATAAGTAGTGATTACACAATGTTGAAAAAGGAACGTAAATATACAGTATTTACTACTGAAAACAGAAAAGCCTACAGTACAGGCAAAATCACTCCTACAATGAAGTATACGGTTGGATCTGGGAAAAACGGTTTTGGAACCATTTCTTCGTAAAAGTGAACGATCATCCCAAATTGTTAATTAAAATCCAAAATTCTAGATAAGGATTAAAACAGTTAGGGAAATGTACAGTCAGGATTTAACAGATGAAATGCGCAGAAAGCTGCAGGCATACAGAACAAAGGGCATTGAAAATAGGTGTTAGGTGATTCAATACGCTTTAGGAAATTAAGAAGCAGAGAGCCTTAAGCAAAACACAATTGTTTATTACATTCTTATATTTTTTATTTAATTTATATATTGAACAAACATCATTTTAAGTTTATTAAGATCTTTAAAAATCAATACTGTAACTTCAATCACTAGAAATTATCAGGTGTCCTATTTACTGTATGTGTTACATTATTTTTGTTTTCTATTTTAGTGAACAGTACATGTAATACATGGTCAAATTATTTTATGGCATTATACCATTGTGTATTTTACTATAAGGAGAAGTCAATGTCACGATCATAATCCCTCCTGTGAAGGGCGCTCTGGCTCATTCACACTTTGCTGTTCCTGTGCACCTATCCTCCATCCTACCCCCTCTTATTTAAGCCTGGCGCTCTCACTATTCTGGGCTCAGCTTTGGGAGCCCCTCCCACCAGCGGGTCCAGGAGAGACCCGGGGGGCACAGGCTTCACCACGGTGTCCTGACCATCTGGGTCTGGGGTTTAGAGCGCCTAGCCTCGTCATCCCCCTTTATTCCCTGTCCCCACACCGGATCCCATTCCGCTTTTTAAACTCGTCTTGTCTTGTCTCAATTGGATCACCCACTTTTGGACTTCGCCCTGGATCTAACGCCTGGACTCCTTGGACTTGTTCGCCTTGGCTACGCCCCACCAAAAACCAGTTCACCATCGTCACGCCCCCCTGTCTGTCAACCCCTCCTGATCCTCGTCGTCTCCTCCCTGTCGTCCTTTTCCACTTACATCCGGATTATACCGTCTGCATAGGATCCTGAACTACGCTTCATTAGTTATCCTGAAGTATCTGATGGATGTTTTTCTTATATGGTCTTAGAAGTTCTTTTTGGGTTTCAAAAGGTTGGTTCTGTGTTCTTGTAGGTTTCCACCAAATCCCCTGGTTTCTTTTTTTAGCTTCTGAGATCTGATTAAACAATGAAGTATCTGGTTAAGTTATAGTGGTTATAAATTGGCAATGGTGCTGCCCTAGGAAAAAAACAGCGAAACAATGCACACATATTTTTGTTATTTATATATAATATGTACAGTATGTATTCTGCCTTGCACCCATTGCTTGACTAGACAGGCTCTAGCTCCGCTGCGACCTTGTTTTGGATAAAGTAGTTAGAAAAAGGATGGATGGAAATATAAATATACATTATATATGCAGTACAGTATAATCAGTCTACTTTTCAATCCATTTCAAGCTGCACTTTTATGATTGTATAATTGAGACCATTTAAATGTAATAACTAGAGAATACAAAATAGATAGTTACTGTTTTTGGTCTGTCAAAACAAAATCAGTGAGTTTTATCTTACACTGCTAAGGAATATTTGAGTGTTGGACTGTACTATTAAGGGACAATGTTATAACTAAGGGATGAACAGTATAGTGAAAATAAAACAATATGTTTCATCCATCTAAAATATTAAACAGCAACAGCTAATGTGATGACATGCTGTTCCAGGATAATCTTCAATTGTATTTTTTTCTGATTATGTTGTTTACCTGCCTGAAATCAGCCTGTAAAATAAAATTAAGATAAGTTACATAAGATTAGGAGCAGCTGCCAGATAAACTTAACCAAAATAACTACACTGTGACAAATAATTTGCACACTTTTTCATATATGGAATCTTTGGCCTTTTCTAAAAAATGTATAATTATGATTAGGCCAAAGGTTTGTGAATTGTATTCATCCCTCTTTTATATTTAGTATTTATTAGGCTTAATAAAATATTTTTTTTCATGTTATTGTTAAAATACTGGTAGTATCTCTTCTGATCCTTTGCATGTGTTGTATGAAGAATATTAACTCATGCCTTCAGACATTATAGAATTCCTCAATATAGATGTAACAAGATAAGTAATTCCTTTATCAATCAAATGACTCAATAAATAAGTTCCTGATAAATGAGTAATTTGTTATGGGCAAGTGCTATAAGTGTATTATGTGTAAAAGTGAAGAGGTAATATGTAAATATGTGGGCTTAGTTTAAGTGTGAGGGGAGTGAATTTACAGGGTTCTGGAGCAGTTGTGTGGATTCCTGTTGGGAGTGTTGTGGAATGAATATTTAAGACTAGACATCTGTTATGTAATGCTTACTTGTACTCTTTGCAAGTGTACCTGTGTGTAAAACAAAGCTGCTCTGTTGCAAGACAAATTTCTGAGAATTAAGACAACAAAAGTATTATTGTATCTTATTGTATTATGGGTGTGCAGATACTATACTATACTTTTATGGTATACAGGGGTGGAGCAGTGGCTCTGTGGCTAAGGCTCTGCACCTTTGGCTGGAACGTTGCTGGTTCAAATCCCACAGCTGGCAGAGGAATCCTCCTCTGTTAGGTCCCTGAGCAAGCCCCTTAACCCCAACTGCTCCAGGGGTGCTGTACTATGGCTGACCCTGCACTCTGACCCCAGGCTCTCTCCCTGTTGGTGTGTCTCATAGAGAGCAAGCTGGGGTATGCAAAAAGACAAATTCCTAATGCAAGAAATTGCATAGAGTTAATAAAGTGATGTTGTTGTTTTATGTTTGAGGAAATGTATTATGCATGTACGTTTGCATAACACCACTAGAGGGACTCAGATGTTCAGTCAATATCTGTACAGAGCATTTGCAATAGGCTCTGGCTCCCCCACAGTCCTGTATTAGATAAAGCAATAGAAATTACATAGGTGTATCTGTACAGAGACTGCTGGGGTACTCCTGTCTTTCCATGTACCTTTAGAGACCTGTTTTGTTTCTGGGATCAACTAACAGCTCGATTTCAATTATATATTGTATCATTATCATAATATATATTGTTGTGTTAATTGCTCTGAATAATAGTGCCAGATGTACACATCACAAATACTCCTCATGACGGATCCTTGGAAGTTTTCTTTTTTGGCTCACTACACGTGAGCCAACAACAACTGTTTACTGTAAGCTGTAAACCCTCTATTGCAATTAGTATATGGTAAATTATATATGAAAAGAATGTCCACTGGGAATTTATTCCCCTCACCTAATTCAATTCAATTAAAAACATTCTCAAATAATCTGATAGTTACTTGACATATTAATGAACAAGGTGTATACACCCAACAAATTCAGCAATGGAATTTCCATTAAACTCTAGAACTACAACTACATCAAAAGCTTTGCTTTCATTTTTGATAAAAAGGGTTTTATTTTTACAAATGCATGATTTCAAGTCAGTAAATCATTTTTGCCCTTGCTCTACTATTCACTGTAACTAGGTGTTTCATTTACAAAAAAACTAAAAATATACAAGTATTACTTTTTCAAACTTCTGTTAATTCTCAGTAACATTACAAAGATGATCTCAGAACCGAAGGTTGCGTACAGTATGCAAAAATGTATGGTGTGGGACTGAAAACGATATTGTACAAAACATTGTGGGAGTATGGAACAAGTTATCCAAGTATGTTGATGAAGGTTATCCTCTGGGTTCCTTCAACAAATGGCTGCATACGATCCTCAGATCAATTAGGTACTCAAATGGAAAGGTCACCTCTTGTTTATAACCATTCTTATGTTCTTAACTGGTATCTGGAATGTAAGGACGAAATTTTACCATAGTCCCATAGATAAAAATATAACGAAAGGGAGATTAGTTTTTGAAATGACTGCAACTTAAAATGGCTAATGATCTTAAAATTAAAAGACCTCCATGTGTCATGATCTTCTGTATTGGTAAGCATAAGAAGAGTATACTTTATAAAATAAAATATACATTGATAGTTCTAAAAATCACTGCAAATGGCGCCAGTCAAAAAAACAAAATCTATATACATGCTCTGCTCTTCATAATGTTAGCACTAGTTAGAATCTTTTTCAGTCTTATGCCTGCTACCAATAGGCTGCCTTTCTCAGTTCTATGTGCCACGCCACCGTATTTATCACTCTCTTACTAAGATCTGTTCCCATCAGCCTGCTCTTGTTTCCTCCATTTATAAACTGATGCCTAAATAGCTTCTTTTGCTTTATTACACTTTCTTGGGGTTTTTCTTTTTAAAAATGAGATTCCCCTCATTCTGTAGGTGACTAAGGCTATAAATAAAATAAATGAAGTAATCAAAATACATTTAAATAACAAAAGTTAATGCAGATGTTACTGTTGAAATGATGTTTTGTGATGCCTGCTAGTATGTCAGTTTTATTTTGACAGCTGCCGTATATCATGTCTCATCAACAGATCCAAGTCAAATACTGTGTGATGTGGGCTAGATGGAAATTGGGCTTTATACTGTATACATAAAGAGATTACACTTTCTTTTATTTCAACACCTGTATGAGACAGTTAAAAACACTTCTCTTCTCAACCCAACCCCACCACAGTCATGCTATAACTGTGCAGAGCCAAGGTCAAATTTACACAACATTATAATGAAATGGATCAGTTTGTGTACCCTGAGAAATGTACAGAAGCATTTTAAGAAAATAAGAAATTTTACAAAGCAGAGGAAACTATTCGGTTCAGCTAACTTTTTTGGTTGCTAGTAGTAATTGATTGGAGGAGTTCATTTAACCTGGAAACAAAATCAAGATACAGGCATCAAAAATGTGTCTGGGTAATGCATTCCAGACTCTCACAACTCTTTTTTTTTTGGTAAAATGTACCTCTAGTTTTCAATTTTAAATTCACTTCTCTGTAGTTTGCACTTATGTCTCTTGAACCAAACTTCCTGACATGCTCCTTTTCGCATACTGTGTAACATTAACATACATTAGCTAACCATATCAACATATTTAGGCACATGGGTATATTCTGAACAAGTCTGAGCTCACTGTGAATACAAAAATATAATAGTATGCCCCTGAAAATAAAATACCTAAGAGATACATTCACAACAGAATGAATAACAATTTAAACCAACCTAACATATTATACTTATCACACAACATTTAAAGAACTGATTGAGAGTATTTCACACTGAACAAAACATCCAAATTTGTTTTCAGCTTTAGAAATTAAGTGTTTCTAACATTGTTTAGTTTCACCCTGTGCTCAATATGTCTACATCACATGGTGAAATGCACAGATCTAATGTGTTCATGAAACTCTTTGTTCCAATACTTATGACCTTTGCACCATACAATAGTACAACTACATTTTTCTCACAAAACTAAAAGTTTACTGACAAGAATCTCGAATCTTGGAGCCATCTACCAGTTGCTCAGTTTGTTCCTTCACAAATACGGTAGGCAAAAATATCAACGGTCATTAATATGAAGCGTAAAGTCCAAGTTTCCTTGCTGCTTCAGATTTCTTTGGGCATTTCTTTTGGGGAAAGGGGTAGTACTTCATCTGAGAAGAGGGTCTTGAAAATTTGTTGTCAGGCAGGCTCAGTTGTCTCGACATGATTGCTGGGGCCGAGAACTTCCTCTGTGTTGAGATTGTATACTCTCCTGTTTCACTGCTCCCAGGCATGCTTGGCCCATGTGATTTTTCTAATTTCAAAGGATCTGCAGATCGTTCTTCCATAGGCTCAGGGCATGTTAAAGAAGCACTTTTATTTAATAAGCAATTTCCTGTTTGACTAGATAGCTCTCTGGTGGCTGTCGCTGTGTTTGTATCAGATGTTCTGCTTGAGTTGTTTGCCATGCGATGTATGCTTAAGTGAGTGTGCCATGGGGTTTTATAGTCTTCAAAGTCACCAACAAAATCATACGCCATCTGCTTCTCAAAGGATTTTGAATTTCTTACTTCCTGATTTATGGGCACCACGTTGACTAAGGAGTGTCCATTTACGTCTTTATTTCCTGTTGTTGAGGGTATAAGAAACACAGATCATTATCTCTCAAATGAAAGCAAATCAAACAATTATTATAAAACACAATCTGGAAAACATAAACGTTATGAAATCCATATTTTTAGTAAGCAGAGTTTAGAAAATAACTTGAAATGAAAGAAAGCCTCGATCATGAGTCAACAGACCATTAATAATTATCAGACTTAACTAAATAATTAAAGCAAGATACAAAGAAACTATATGACTGCCAGTGTAATTCTAATTAGTGAGATTACAGAACTAATGTACTGTTATTTGTGGGAAAATTAGCAGAATAAATAAAACATTGACTACAGACTTGTCCAAGAAACCCTTATCATTTCTACTACCTCTGCTTTCACCAGTCCATTAAGGGAAATAAGGATTTAACAGGTGTAGCATTTTTTTTACATCAAGATACAAAAATGATATCAGATCTACATACATTTCAGAGTTTTTTCCATTTTGATCATTCTAATCTCAGGTATAGACACTACATGGATTATAATAGTATAGTATAACGCTATTACACTAATAGTATGAGCAAATTTAAGCACCTTTAGTTAAAAATTATTTAACTAGCAAGAATAGTTAGTGAAGCTTTGACAATTGTAAAAGATTATTGTTGTTTCTGATGTGACTGTTTACATTGATGGAATTCCACCAAAAATCTTATGACATTTTAATAAAATACGTCTATACAAATATAGCATTTGAACGCAAAACAGATCAGTACATGTACTCAGTGGACCATTAATTTATTTTCTTCATTTACTGACAAATTCATGTGGAACTCAAACTTCTAGAACACAATATAAAATACATACTGTAACATCATTACAGCTATTCAATAACAGTTGCGCACTGTTAGAGAAAAGCTTAAACTGATTAAGTGTACAAAACAGAAAATTATCAAAGCTTTTACGATAGCCTAGAAAAGAACTTAAATTTGGCTAAACCGGTTTTTGTCTGGAAAAAAAAACCAAAACGGTTTTACCTGTTTACGGCTAAGTAACCTATAAAAAGGTATGTGAATAACATTCTACTGAACATCGTTCTTCGTAACGGCATCATATAAAGATACAAAAATGTAATTTATAGACTTGGAAAGGACACGCATAATATTCATATGACGTAAACTGATTTGTTCGAAAGCAAGAAAGCTATTTTACTATAAACGAAATATGTTTTAAACTATTGGCGTTCATTATAAATAGTGCGAATATAATTAGAGAACATAAGTTTAAAAAATATAATTTAAGTCTGCAGTGCTTAATCAACAAAATCTATATTGTATCTAATTGACACTACAATTTAAAGCATTGACTTTCGATTTAAAGCGCATTTTGTCACACTGGGTTTATAAAACTTTATTGCTCAATGCAAAGAATGGAGCTGTACAGTGTTCGAGATCAAAGTTGCATACTTTAAGAATAGTTGCAGACTCATATTTAAAAATATATGTAATAAAAGCAGCGTGCTTTTCTTATTCACACTACTGAGAAATATTTTACTCATGTTTGATTTGTCCAAGATGGCGAGCTTATAGGTAATTGCGAAACCAAAGCCATTATTAATGCATACCTTTTTTAAACAGAAGAATGTTGGTCTGTAATTGTTGTTTTTTTTTATTCCAATGATACTGTTCTTTCAGAAGCGCTATGTCCATCTCTGTTGGTCCCGGAACGACTTCTGCTTTGTCTTCTTCAGAAGAATGACTCACACCACCTGCTTCGCGTCCAAATTTACGCACCTGAATCGTCTGGTCCGATAAAGACGTCAAAGTTATATGGCAGCAAGATAACATTTTGCTCATTTGTTTGCATTTGTACAACAGTCGTTTTTCTTTTGTTTTCTTTTCAAAACAAAGTAGTTTCATCTATGGCACTTAATAACTTCACGTCAAAATAGCACAAATGATGCGAATTGTTAAATAAAAACACACTGTGCTGGAATACTAGCGCTGTGCAAATACTTAGAACACTTCCAACCTGCTTTTCGTAGATGAGCTGAGGGGGAACATGTGATGCACTGCTCGAGTGATATGTAAATAAACAGGCTACATTGAAGCTTCACTGACAAAGACAAGGTGTGGTGTGGTGAGGCAATACACAAAGCTTTACTTTTAATTGGAGATGTAACTCCACAAACTGGGAGGAAAGGTATTGCGGGAGGGTTAAAGATGTTAGTTAATTAGGGCTGACTTGATCAGCTTTTTTATTTTGAAAAAAAAAAACACAACAACAACAACTCATCACACATCTGTCAGAAGAGCTGTTCTAAGTCTAAAGAATTGCCTGAACATGTGTGCTCACAGCTCACCTGTTTTGCATGGTTTGATTTGTTTACACCCTTTTCTTGGTAGAAACATTTGGCACAATTTTCAGTATGACAGTCAATTAAATGGCAGGTGCAATACCTAATCATTTTATGGACATTTAAGGGACTTAATACAACTGGAAAGTAATGTTACTGTTACTTTAACAGTTTTATAGTTTATCCATAATAAATTAATCCTGTGAATATTCTATATAAACACTTTGGTATATGTCTCATACTGTAGGTACCTTCAACAAATATTTGTACAGTATGTATACTAGATGTATATTATGTTCTAACCCATCAGATACTGAAAGCATTTACAGTACTTGTCCATGTCAGAATTTGCACCAAGATTTTAAAAGATTTCAAGAGGTTAAGAAGGCATTGAAGAAACCTTTATTGATTTGTGATATCTCTTAGGCTATGGGTTACTATTACAAAGAACCCAAAACTTGTTTTGCTGATTGGTGCTCCTTTTCTAGTAGGATTTATAGTTAATCTGTGATAGAAAATCCAGAGAATTTTGTTGACTCATAAGTAAATTTTAAGATGCTGTGTCCTTGTTCTGTGTGTATCAGGAATAGTGAAAAAGAAATTGTATCTCTGTGTCAGTGTCTAGGATTCCAGTTTTGCAAGTGCTGTCATCTCTGCTTCATTGTAACTCCTGTAGTTTTTTTAACTCTGCATCCAAAGATCTTCTGAGGTTTTCACAGAATTCACAATAATTTAAATTAATGAGGGAAATATCCTTTTCTCCTTGTTGATATACTGTATTTATAATAGGTATATAACAGTGAAATGTCTGCCTCTAGAGCACAACTCATAGACTGGTTATAACTTCGTAATCTTGGACAAGTACAGTATGTGTTAAAATTCAAAACCTATACTGACTCTTGCAGTGCTGAAGTTAGGACAGATAATATATTACATAGAATGTCACAGGATTTGTTTGTGTAAGTGTATAACTGTAGTTCATGTATTTGCCACAGAGCCACAAATTGATTCATATCCCTTTGACCCCCATGTTTTAAGGACTTAAATTATCTATGACAAATATGCCTTTGCACAAAGTAATGTCATTATTATTACAGTGTAACATGTTTAGAACGTTTTAAGCATTTATTCTGAAAATAAGTAAAACATTTTTTACACAATGTTTTGTCCTGTTTTATCAAAGAATTAAATAAATGTGGGGGTCATCGTACAGTAAATTGTCATCAAAACTAAAATACATTGACATGTCACCATTGAATACATTCATTGTTTCCTATAGGAAAGATGAAAATAGTGAAGTTGATTAGCAGCACATCCAATACCAGATTACAATGCTTCTTGACTTGTTCTCAGGCTCACACTTGTGGAAATGTAATGATCTGCCAATGTGCAGCATGTTGACACAGCAGTGTTTAAGAAGTGGGCGAGTCCCCCTTTGCAGAACCTATTGTTATAATAACCAGACTCAACAGTCAGGTCATGTTGTAAATCAGTTACTCAGCAGTACAGAGACTGGCTGTATTTGGGTCACATTGCTTTTTTAATCATTAACACCACTTACAAAAGTGTTTTAACCCACATACATATCCTGTGCTGATTTGCGTATTTTCATTTAGAGTCATAGACAAAATAATGACATGCACTATACAAGCAAATGGGAGTGATCATATTTGTCCTTAGCAGTATATAAATAGTACATGTTATTATAGATGTATAGAATTTTATATATGATCTGTGATTAGATTATAAATATTACACTTTTTCCTTTAATTCTGGATTTTATTGGGTATTTGGAATGAATCAGTAATTCACAATACACACATTAATACATTATATAATTATATCCAATTCCTGTATAATATTTAGGCTGCATTTATTAATTTTAGTTATATTTGTCTGCAAATATATTTCTATGGTACAAAGAAAAACACAAATCTTATTGCTCAGCAAAAAGCCTGAAAACGAACTTTTTCTAAAGATTTTATGAAAAGTGTGGATGTTTATGCTTTGAAATTGTACGTGTCTTATAATAGGCCATAGTAAATGTAAAGGAACAAGTAATAGGTTTATTCCATGCTGAAAAAAAGAAGAAAGAGAAAACAACGTTTCGGCCGTGGAGCCTTCTTCAGGTGTGAGAGAGACAGGGCAGTAGGCAAAGGTAAAGTAGCGGGAGAACAAAGGTTGGGAGGGAGGAGGAGTGAGAGGCGGGAGCAGGGGACAGAAAGAGAGGCCAATCAAGAGGTGTGAAGTCAAAATGGGTGCAGAGAGGTGTGAAATGAAACTTCCAATGAATGGAGAAAATCTAAAAGAACAGTACGACATCTGTAAAGGAATAGAAGGTGGTTAGAAAGCCTGGTCTTGGAACAGATAGCTGTGAAGAGACAGAATGCTGGTTTAGTGAGAGAAGCGGACGCAGCTACCCACCTGAACATAGTAAATGTAGTCAAGGCACTGTAGTTAATATAGGATGAAAAAAAGGTTTTGCAAAAGTTTTTCAATAAATTATAAGAAGTATGCAAGAAGTTTCAGCTCTACAAATTGCTGTCTTGGAGAGGTCGCTGAAGTGTGGAGTTGACAGTGCACTGCATTTCCTGACTATTGACTTCACAGTCAGTTTTACAGATTGTGCTTCAAAAAGAAAATACAGTTTGATTAATAGTTTTACTGTAGAGGTTTTAGATAACACTCCCATGTCTTCCTTTGATTGTTTCAAGAGTGATGATCATTTCCTTTGTGTGTTTTAGAATTTTGTAAGCAGTGTTTAGCATTGTTGCCCCACAGTGCAGGGGCCCTGGGTTCAGTTCTGGACCTGGGGTATTATCTGAATTAAGTTTTTTAATTTTTCAATTTTTTCAATTCAATTCAAGCTTTATTGTCCCCTACGGGAAATTTGTTTTACGGCACACTCAAACACAACACAATGACAAATACACATAATCAAAAGGGAAGAGAATACAGAAGTGTTACAGGAGAAAAGAAACAAGAGACAAGTAGTTACTTTGCATTGTTTAAGAGTGTAATTGCAGTGGGAATGAAAGATTTCCTGAGTCTGTTGGTTTTGCACCTGGGGGCACAGAGGCGTCTCCCAGATGGGAGAAGTGTGAATTCACAATGGAGGGTGTGATGCTTTTGGCTTTCTTAGTCACCCTCTGTTTGTAAAGGATGCTTAAGTTAATTTGATTATTCCCGATTATTTTGCCACTCATATTCACTAATTTACCCAGCCTATTACAATTACAGGTACTTATGTACCAGTAACCAACAAGTGAAGCAGTACAGTATGTTAAGGCACTTTCAATGAATGATTTGTAGAAAAGTGTAAGGGTAGTTTTATCTACCTTAAAGTACCTGAGTTTTCTAAGAAAGATGAGTCTCTGTTGGCCTTTTTTATAGATAGTGTCACAACATTTGTCCCATTCTAGGTTTTTGTTAATGACCAGTCCCAAGTACTTATAGTCATCGACAATTTCAACAGGCTGACCATGAATTGTAGTGGGTTGAGGGGAAGTGGTATTTTTCCCAAAATCAATAACCAGTATGGTCACCTTGTGTTTGCGTGAGTTTCCGCCCATGTTACAAAGACATACTGGTAGGCAAATTGGTCTTTGTGTGATTTTTGCATGTCTGTGTGTGCCTGGAGATTGACTGGCTTCCTATCTGTGGTGTTTCCTGTGTCGTTCCTGTTGCTTGCTGGGATAGGCTCCAATGTGACCCTGAACTGAATGAAGTGGTTAGAAAATGGATGGACAACACAATACTCACTGACAAAAGGAAAAAACTTTTAAAGCATTAAATCTAAATATGAAACAATATTTATGGATTAAAATCCATTATTTTTCACTTGTTTCCACAGAATGTTTTGTAGGTGTCAGATTTATCTTTGCTATCACGAGTTGTGTGACGTATTTCATTATTTTCCATCTTTCTCACCATCTTTCTCGCCACACCTGAAACTAGAATTGGATAGGAAAGATGAAGATTGAATTGTATTAAACAGTATAATCAAATCTAAAAATGCTTTTGGATATAAAAATCTCAACATACAAGAGAAAAACAATGTTTTCATTGTTATTTCCTCTTACCCTGTGAGGGGACTTATTCCATAACTGCATTAGGAGAGAAGATAAGAATTTAACATCTAGTTGCCAGCACTTCTGTGGTGCTGAGTGACAAAAGTTCTGTCCCCCAGAGCACATAACAAATATGGACTGGGAAGGGGTTCCAGTATCCTGCAGGTACTGTGACGGTTACCTTCTCATGTCACAATTTGCAATGTCATGGTGGAAGGTGTAAAATGTAAATTGATGGTACCTGCAAACTGTTTCCAAATGAAGAATATACTATTCTGTGTATATTCTATATTCAGAATAAAATATAAAGTGCTACCATATAATGTAGCACTCCACCTGCAAGAACTGGCATCATGTAATCTTGTAAAAACTAACAAGTCTGAAATAATAGAAAAAATTAAACACTTTTTGTATTATGTATTAAAATATAATGTTAATCTTCACCTTGTTACTGAATTATTATTGGACACTGGAATACTGCGTCTGACCTTTGAACAGATAATCCTACCGCTCATTCCGGTCAGTGTTAAACATTGACGGAAAACTATGAGACTGAGTTTTTATTTGATTAGAATTCAGTACTTTAAATTTGCCATACTCTTTAATAATAATCCAAACACGAGAGTAGCTCTTGAAGTTTGAACTGCACAATTAAAATCTTTGCCTTCTTCAGTCATTTAATCGTGAAGTATTGCCACCTAGAAAGAACGTGTGAAAGGAGTCTTAAGACAGTCATAATTAAAAAGAATACTTTCTTAACGTTTCCGTTCTTGAGTGGTTACATTGTCAGCTCGCATTCTCAGAGGCTCGTTAAAATTTGTACCTAGCACAGCCAAGAAATACGCTGGTGGCGGCTCCTTTAATTTTTAACTTTTCCTGGGTCGTCATGATGACATAGGCTTCACTGTGTTCAACCCCACCGCTGAAATATGGCTCCAGCTTCTGGTTGTTGTTACCTAGGGTTTGATTTCAGTACCCAGCAGGTAAGGCCTTTTTTATTGCGTAACATGTTGCACATAAATGTCTTCTTTTATTTCCACGTTAACACACTCGGAACCGTACAGTACGTTGCTGTTCTGTTGTCATACTCGGAAAGAACTAGTCAGGATGTTTTTGCACGTGATCTGTTATGATAGACAGTCTGCGAAAATTCAAAAAGTTCTGCAGCTCAGATGAAGTAGATTTCTGATGTAATGAGGTGTTGAATCTCCGAAAATTATTTATTTTGAACCGGAGACCTCAATTCTGATTGTCAATTATATTATTTTTTGTTACTCCGTAGGGACAGAAACTACAGTATTGATTTCTACTGTAGTTCTGGGCTGTTTTGCAAGATTTTAATAAACACACTCTAGTGCATAAATCCTTGCAGTGATAATTATTGCAATTTAATGTCTTAAAACTATGGTACATAGTCTAGATACCTTACTGTGCTTTGCTCCTTAAAGGTTTAGTAAAACACTTTTCAAGTACCGAAATATTGATTTGTATATGGAAGGTCAACTTTTAATTACACTTGTTGCACACGGCTCTGCATTGTAATGCTTTTTTATTGATCCGAAGTCGATTAAACTGTATCAATGACACCACGACCTTACCCCTTTAAAATATCTGACAACATATAGTATCCTTTTATAGTTTATTTCCTGTGGAATTGAGTGACTATTTCCGTGTTTTAGCATGACAGTTAACAATAAAAACCGCATTTTAGTTTGTGGGCGATTATTTTCATTATTAATATCATTGTAGCTAAAAGTGATTGCTGTTGATGAACATCTGGACGTCGTTTATCAAGACAGTGTGCAGTTTGACAATGAGATTCCTGAATACAGGTAAATAGTGAACTGTCACTAGTACAGACCAACATTGATTTATTCCTTATACATTATATCTAAAAAAAGCCATCACCACTTATGCATTATTGCTTCAAGCCCATAGAATTGTTATTAGTTTGTGTGATCATCTGTAACTCTGATAAAAGTAAGCTTATGTCATTTTAAGTGGTGCTCAATTTCTGTGTTTCAATAAAAATATAAAAGCTTTATGACTTTAAACCACACAATGAGTATTCTGCAAATACTTTACACAGATTAGATTTTAATCGAAGATGTAAAAATGTATAAATACAGTTTTACCCTGCAGCTACAGGTATTTTTGGTAGTACAAATCTACACTTGATCGCGGACATAGATATTTATTTAAATATACAGAGCCCTGTTTTTCTCACACAGGACCCAAGGTGGGGTTCATTTCCACAGTGACAGATTAACTGTTACTTCTCCAGTGCTGATGTGGGTTAAGGTAAGAAACACTGTGAATAACTTGCTGCAGAAAGTAATCTCCATTGTCACTGTCCCATCCAAGAAAGTACATTAATTGCAATGCATGCAAAATGTTGGGATTTGTATTTGGATTTGTCTGTTTTCCTTTTTTGTTATTCAATATTTTTGTCATCTAAATAAGTATAAAAATAAAGCTACATCATGCTACAGCTTTTTAATAAAATAATCCAAAACCTGCAAAGGGCTGAAGCAAAAAGAAAATTGATTGGTTTGGTGGTGCCTGAGTTTTGGATGGTGGAACAGTAATACATGGTATTATTATTTCATTCCAATAAAATTGCCAATTTATTTAAGTGTGTATACTGATATTCTAGGTGCAAATAAATTTCTTTTACATAAATTATTACTGAAATTATTCAAGCTATAACAGACCATTAACACTTTCACTTCTATTTGTGCCATGAATTCTAGGCGGTAGATAACATTCTTGAAAAGATGAAGATTTCTGGTTTTGAGTTCACTCGTGTAAAAGCCTTATCAGGAAGTGGACAGGTACGTTCTATTGTAAATTCATACGCTGCGGCAGACAACCTGTAAAAAAATGCTCACTTTTTCATGTTAAAATGTATGAGGTGATTCTTCTGCTATTTTTGTGTTTTTTCTATAGCAACATGGTAGCATATATTGGAAAAAAGGTGCCGAGACGGTCCTCCAGAACCTTGCACATGATAAGCCTTTGCATGAGCAGATGAAGGTAAAGATTCTGTGTTGCTTTTTTAATTGAGTGCTGTCTTAGGTAATAGTCTTAATTAATTTTATTATTTGGCTCATGAAAGGACACATAGATAATGATGTTTCTTCCCAGCATTTGACAGGCGAAATACCATATGGTGGGTGTTATTGATTTGAGAGTGCAATTTTCATGTACATGTGATTTTTTCTGTGAGGAAATCAATGCAGAGCAACAGCATTTAATTTGTCAATAATATACATTTTGACATTTTTGGTTTTCTTTTTAGGAATTTTAAACATGATGACTTTATTTTGTTTGTAATATCCAATTTTAATTTAAACAATTATTGCTGCATTATTGATGTAATCCAAGAGATTAGGAGCCTTAAAGACAATATACATGCTTCCACTGATTAGGTACGTCAACAAGACTTCTTCTTTTCACACTGTGGAACCATTGACACAAATAGCACCAGTTTCATTGGAGACAGAGGACAGACCCTTAATGAACATGTCCTGCAGATGCCTGTCTTACTATGAATTGTGGGTGCACTGTACGTCACTGATTTATTAGCTGACTACTGCTTTGACCGATAGTCTTCTGCCCTGTCCATAGCTTACTGATTTTATGGCCTAAATTCCACCTCAGAATCTTATGTTATAAAGTTCACACATTATTTTAAAGTGAAACAAAAACAAAATACAAAGATGTCCTTCACCTTAAACTGTGGAGTTGTTGTAATGTAATGTAGTATATTTTTGACTTGACAGCAGACAGAATTTATTGGTCTTTATTTATACATTGTGAAATAGAAATGCCTTTTAATTTTTTAAGCTATTAATAGAAATAACATTTCACACCATCATATTTTCTCTACTAGTGTGTGATACACTTTCAGGTTCATAATGCAGTTCTCTGTGTTTTAATTTACTGGAAAAGTTATTAAACTGAGTAAATGTCTTGGAAATACCAGCTTTCAGTCTTTCTGTTTTATTCATACGCTCCTTAGTAGAAAAATGAATAAAGTACATAGACCCTTGTTAAAGAAAAAAAAACTTTCTTCTGGAGTATAATTTAATTAGAATTTTTTCCCCAAATTTCTAACTGTATTAGTCTCCACAGCATGAGAAGAAGTCACAACTGGAAAATCAGGTTTTCCTATAATCCTTTTGTTTTGTGTGTCAATGCTTTTATTTAATAAGACGTGCTACAGGATCTAGATTCCGGCTTCCAGTTTCATTTCTACCTTTTCTAATGGAATCCAAATAAGATTAAAAACAGATGTTTGGACAGTAGAATACTAATCCTGTCAAACACTTTTTTCAATTTAAAGCTTATTGTTCGTAGCCCTTTGTTTTTCTTCTAAAGTCTGTTTGAAGAATATTGAAGTATAGAATATTTTAGGGGCTGCACACCACCAGAAACATTCTAACTCAGGGATTGCAAATG